TCCAGTGCGGTGGGGTTTTGTTTTAGTCATGGATGTTAAGCTCGAATTGGGTATTCGATACGGTGGCGAACATAAACACAGCATTTATCGGAAAATAGAGATGTCCGACAGCCCGTCTCAACATCCCGGCATGTTGGTTACCAGCTTTTGATGCCTTTTCGGATTACCTGGAACAACCTAAGTCATCCTGAACCATCACGCCCAGGTCACCCCCACCGGAAGCTCGCTGCAGTACTTGGGTTCCTACCCTGTGTGAGTAGTATCGTTGGATACTAACTGACATTTGCACACGTTGAGTTATTGTAAATTTCGGGCTGACCACATGTACGATATCTAGGTATTACTGGTTGGCATTCGAATGAATCCTACGCTATGGCGCAGGATGTCGTCGGCAAACAGTAAGTCAAGTTGTAGTGATTACCTGTGCGAGGTTACTACTAAGTACCAAAAACAATCGTGACCCTAGAACCGAGCCGTGAGGCACACCACACTCGACTTGTATGATGTCAGGTAAAGAGCTCCGAAACCTGACCACTACTTACAGTTAGCGGAGAAAGTTGGCGATCAAGCTCAAGAGAGCGTTACCGATCTCATAAAACTAGAGTTTGGAAAGGACCATCTGATGATCTGGACTATCGAATGCTTTCGAGAAATCCAGGTAGATCACCTTAATGGAACAACGGTTAAAAATACTGAAACAGATCCCACAGAATGATCATGGTGAAAATTCAAAATATAGAAATACCCGCCAACAAAGTTAGGTTCACGTCGGTGGATTCACCGCGGTATTTGTAGTGTAAAATCCACTGTAAGTCGAGTTATGTTCGTTAACGCACATGTGGATGCGTTTATACACGCATATATACCCGTGTCCTTTCCGGATTGTGAGCGATTGTGGGGCTGCTTTCGCTATGGGGAGCATCGGAGGCGGTCTCATTCATATGTACAAAGGGTATCGAAATTCCCCCTCCGGTTATATGCGAAAAGTCGCGAGTGCCCTATCCAACTGTCGCCAGCGTGCTCCTCTTCTGGGCGGCGCCTTCGCTATCTGGGGCGGCACGTTCACCGCTGTCGATTGTACCTTGGTGTTCGCTCGACAAAAGGAAGATCCGTGGAATTCTATTACGAGTGGGGCAATCACGGGTGCCGTTTTGGCTGTCCGGCATGGTCCTGCTGCGATGGTCGGTCAAGCAGTTGTTGGTGGTGTTATCCTGGCAATTATCGAAGGTCTTGGGATCATGATGAACCGTTTCGCACCCATGTTAATGCGTATGTCATTGTGACTTTCTTTTCAATGATCCACTTTTACGTCCCTACCACTGCAAACGTGAGCCGTGTCACAGTAGTCGTTCGACCTAATTGAACTTTACCTATCTCACTGACCGCTCCTTATCAACCGATCCTTACTGCACAACTACGTTCGTGTTTCACACTACAAACATCGGATTTCAGGTAACACGGTTACCAGTTCTCATCTAACAGAGCGCTCTTACTGAGCGTTTTGAATCACTTTCGTCAGTTTAGACATTTAAACATCATCCTGACATAATCACGTTGTTCCCTCAGTTTGCTCATCTGTTAACAAGCACAGCGTTATTTTTTTCCTTACTCTAGAATGCTGGGCTATTCAAGGATCAACTCTTGACTTAGCTGCATAAAATGGATTATCTGACCTCTAGATTTTATTCTCTTGACCTTTCCCACTCTCCAGGTTGGAGTTCATGCTATTTACCTAGCACGTCATCATTGATCTTGCATAATAAGGCCTGCAATCGGCCCCAGCGACGTGTTAGCTATCACTTATTAGCCGTACTACTTGTATCAATCGTGTATAGTGGCTTGATTGCGAATTAGGTCATCTGTTGTCACTGGAATGTGCCCACCGTCGGCCGTTTTTTTGATAACCAAATTTCAAAGTCGGATGAGTTCAATACACCTAAGTGCTTGCATTTTTCAGTATTCATACTTTTCGATTGTCACTGATGCACGCCTTGGCAATGATTTTCGTTGTGTCAAATGGTAAGCGTGTCAGGTACAGTAGAACGGAATGTCTACTTAATTCCGCGCAGGAGGATAAAAATGTTTTGCGCTCGCCAAAGCAACCCGTCGAGATTTCGAGTAGTGGCTGTGTTGAAATATCCAGAATGTAAACTACTAAAATAAAATCAACTGGAATGTCAGGTTGAACCCTGCTTCCAGTTATTCGCCTTGAGAATCACACAATCAAATTGTGATCTCTCATGGAAAACAACGATGGTGGTAAAGACTTCGCGCCTTCGATATTATCCCATCTAACCTGTTCACGAGTCACCACTATCGGGTCATATTTGTTCAGCTGCAATGCAGTTGGGTTTGATTCGTCTCAGTTCCTACTTGGATATAGAAGTCTTCATTTCAGAAGGCTTGGTTTATATATATATATATATATATATATATATATATATATATATATATATATATATATATATATGATGAATCTAGTGCCCCATGCTGAGGCTGATGTTGCATTCTTGATGCTTCTTCACCGCAGTTGGGCTAAACCAACTTACACTTAAGCTAGGTCATTTTAAGCTGGCTAAATTTCATTCCGCTTTATTTGGTTTGTTCTGCCTCCCTGAATAATGTTCTATTAACTTGCCACGTTGCTTACACTAATTGCGCTTATCTTCGGTAATTTTGTTGCGTTTTGTAGCATTTTTAAGTAACTTGCGGACATTTCTTACTTATCACGGATTTGTTGTTAACGCACTTACTTCATATGGTAAATTAGCGAAGAGTTATGCCACCGTATCTGTATGCATTGTTGGATTTATTTTATTTCAACTTGTCGTTTAAAGTGAATGGCTGTTGTTTGATATCCCCGGTGTGGTTGCGCTTGATGTGTATGTTGACAAGGTGCCTACCTGTCTATTACCCACTACATCGTTCATACTGGCTCCAGGAGACAGTTGGTCGTTGCTGGAGGGGACGGGGTACACGGTCATTGTGGCCGTGCTAGGCTCAAAGAGCGGTTCCATGCACTCAGTGTGGAGCGGACTACGGTCCAGCCACCGCCTTGTGTGCGGTTGATTCCCCAAATACAGCGTGCTTGTGTTTGCCTGTGAAGGAGTGTGGGCCGGCTCCGTTGATGAAACGTGGTTCCCATCCGCATGCCTCCCGGTCTTATTCCTTCGGGTTTACACTGGATATGGGGTATGTGGTTGGAGCTGTGGGTGGTGCAGCGCAAGCCATCCATGGTCCCTCTGTAGGCGCAGGCGTCCTGTGGCTTGCCACAGTGACAGGCAAATCCGAAACCGGATGCCGCCAACCATATCCGTTTATACCCATTTCGTGGGGGGTACGGAGCACAATGTTTGTCTTTGCCCTGTTGTCACTAAGCGACTAGGAATCAACTCAGGTGATACAGGTGGTCTAATGCATCGTCGAGTCATTTTTGACTGGTATTGTGGGTGCAAACGTGATAAAATTCAATTGAGCATTCCATGGGTAACAACTTCGAAGAGAAATGGTTCCAGCAGCATTCCAACCGGCTGTATTGCCTAGCCATTTTCGATTTGTGACCCATCAACTTTGTGCTGCGGCTGTTTCAGCTGGCGGCAAGCGTGACCGGGGTTTATCAAGATCTGGCACACCAGAAGGGGACGGTGATAACTTCCGTTGTACACTCCTAAAGTTTTCAGTCGCAGATGGCAAGACAGGTGGAGCAATCCCTTCACATTTTTCGTTGCCCTTCGCTGTGCGGTATCCAGTGCAACCAGATCGCGTTTTAACCAGGGTTGCCGGGCCTAAATGGCGTACTCCACATGAAATTCGTTACCTCTAGGCTACGGGCCGACAGGATATCAAAAACTGGAAGTCACATGATGATAAGAACCTCTGAAATATGGGAGCATATTGCGTTCGCACCGCATCTGTTACTTCTATAGCCGTTGTCGTTGGGTAATCAGCCGTCAGGAGCGGAATAAATCACTGTCTCGCCTTACGAGAGCCATTGACATGCTTACAGAGCATTTTGTGGTTAGCACTGAAGGTTTGAAATAAAAGCGAAAATTGCTAGCTCAGGTTGCAGTTGAACAGTTAGCTAAGCTTGGTAATTTTGTTGCAAACGTTTTGTCACCAATCAAGGTGACATCAGTGCGTTGTTAACGCCTAGTGAGTCGCGTAGCGTACAATAGCTTCAATGAGTCTCTACAGGGTGTCAAGATAAAAGAGGTAAATTTATGCTCTCGTTCAATGTCACTGCAATCTTTACCTTGATCAGTCACGAACATGCCAAAGAAACCTTGATGGAGCTACTTCAGACTCAAACAAGCACAGCCACGCAACCTGGAAGTTTATGGACCTCTGCATGACGACTTATTTCCGCTTTGATGGACAGGTATACCAGCAACTGAAATGAACGCCCATAGGATCCCCAATATGGGGTTTGTTTCGGAAGCCGTAATGCAGAAGTCAGAGCGCATTGCACAGCTATCGATCAGTCCAAAGCTTTGAATCCAATATGTGGACGACATATTTGTCACCATTAAACGAAACATAGTACAGACAACACATGACTTGCTCAACAGCACATTCGATGATATCTTATTCACAAGTAAATAGAAACGCACTCTCATCGAGGCCCTCTTACGCTACTTAACAACGCGCTGATTATGTCACCTCGATTGGTGTCGAAACGTCTGCAACAAAATTTTTAACTCAGTAAACGGTTCAGTTGCCACCGAGTTTATTTTCCCACTAGAGTGCATCTTAAAGCAGTCGTAAGGCGGCAGTCCCTGTCGTGCGTAGTTAGGAGGCGATAGAACAGGGCAATAAGGCGAGTGTCTCTGCCCTTTAATTGCAGACGGTACCAAAGAGAATCGGTAACCTGCGAATCTGAATCCCCCTCGGCCTTGCAGTGTAGGTCGCCTTGGTAATACAGAATTACCCCTACTTCTTATGTGAATCTGTTGTCACTGGACGATCAATATGTCCGGCAGTAAAACCTCAGCGTCCTTCACTCCAGCGTGTAATCATGTCTCAGTGACACCTGTAGCGCCCCAAAGGATAGCTGATCTTCTACGTGTATTATTACTAATCACTTGTACGGTACCCATTTTTGTTTTACTGCTCCCCGCTTCGTACTCATCTTATCAGTGAGTTACTGTACTGAAATTCGCTCCTGCTTTGCTTTATCTGTCTACGTCTTTTTGTAACCCCTCGAATATAGCTCGCTATGCTCGACTTCATTTACTTTCTAATATCTCGTGCTCGATTACGCGCTCTGTCTCGTCCCGGCATTTACTGTAGCTATAAATTAGTGACCCCGATACGCACGCACGAAGTTGAAAATTTTCGGTGCTGTCTGTTTTAGAAGGGTACGTTCCTGTTTCTCAATTTTCTAGTGAACTTATTTGTTTCTTGTTTTGCTTTGGTGGGTTTCTCATATCGTTATTTTCATTCTTTTTTTATGCACCTAAATCGTTCCACAGCGCGAGCATGCACACTTAGGCTGTTCCTGGTTTCTTGGAACACTGCCCAGCCTTTTCCTTGAGATCGAATTCGAAATTAGGGGTATTCAGACAAATCGATTGAGGTAGAATCAGCTCTTCCTACGCTTTCCCTTATCGAAGGGGACGCTGGTTCCGAGTATTCTACTTTGCCAACCGAAGGATGCAAACTACGCGAACATGGAGCAGGAAGTTTTAAGGGGTTACAGCTCTGCGCACTGGCTTGATTGGAAGAGCTCAATGGTATCACGTTAGGTAATCGCACGCCGTCCACTTTGATCACTCATCGTTCAGCGCGTTGTTAGTCCTATATTTTTGACCGAAGGTGTGATAAAGGAGGTGACTTGCGCGTCTCCCAGAGCCGTTGCCGCTAATGCTGTTCATATTTCTAGATAAGCTCCTGAAACTACTGGCCACCACAGCAGACGCTGCGTTCGGATGTCTTCCTTAACAGACAACCAGTAGCTTCGGTATCGACAATATCTCGATCGCTAGCTCCTCACGCGAAGAGAACTTGCGCCACATGCGGATACTTTTTAACCGTTTATCCAAACACGATAACGATCAACGCAGGAAAGTGTTCGTTTGGTTTCGATTCTGTCAGTCTCCTTGGCGGATGTGACTCGCCACTCACTAAGATCACTGCCCTAACCATGCATTGGCAAGTTGACCGATACCACATTTCACGATTTCTGTGCGTATATCTGTTCTCATACGACTACGCCTATATGTTTGATCAGTGAAATGTTACTATTCTTAAATCGCTTTCACAGCTTTTTCCTATGCTTCACTCA